GGTTTTTTCTTTCAGCGCTTCTGCAATGTTCCTTACTTGAAATTAAACAATATTTAATTTAGATTAATTTATTGAATGTCAAAGAATGTTTTAATGAGTAAAGGCTTAATCAAAATTAAAATAAATTCTTGTTAAATATATAATTGGAATAAATTGTAATTGCACACTGGCTTTAACGAAGCTTTAAATTGACGAACTGAAGTTGATAAAAAGGTAGACTTCTGGCCACATTGCTCGACTAATGCGTTCGTCGTAGCCCTATCTCGAGGTCCGTGCTCTTAACTGTTGCTAATGGCGATCCCTTCGAGTGCTGGAGAAAGTAATCAAAGTCCAGGACGCACGAAGGGAAGAAGCTTAGCAGGCGCATGACGATCTCGAACGCAGTTGCGGAGGCGGTGATATGGAACGACCGAAACACAAACGGACATTCGTTTTTTCGCTCTTTATATTCAAGCTGGAAGTGATTTCACGCTCCGAAGGACCTCTCTTCGGTCTCCAGACAGGATCTAGGCGAGGCATCCTGCCATCCTCCTTCCTCACAAACACTGTTTAGCAATTTATTATTTACTTAGTTTTTCTCTCGATTTTCACTTTTATTTATACAATCGATTAGATAGCCGTTATCGTCGATTATCTATCTTTTTAGATATGTTGAATTTAATTTCGTTAACATTTTAACATCATCGTTTTTTGGAATACATCGTTCATGAAACAAGAAACAATTAGATGATAATGTATTATGCATAAATGTAAATGCATAAAAAATCGCAAATTCAACAAACAATATATATGTTTTATTGTGTTAAAAGTAATGTTAAAAGTATATAAAGAAAGGAAGGAGAATTCAAGTGAACGTAAAATTGGATATAGTCAACGTTCAGGGACCTTGATTGCAGCTGCAGATGGACAATAATTCGCGTCTGCTCATTCGCTGGAAAGATTCTGGAAATAGCCTCGCCGTCGTTCTGTTCTGTTGTGATCCAAAGAGAACAGGCCATGATCGTGATCAAATTCGCGACGATTCTCACAAGGAGCCACGAGAGAGAGAGAACGAAGGACATTGGCTCGGTGATTCGTAACCCTGAGCGACTCGATACGGTTAGTTTTTGCGGTGTGTCTTGGTCCACCGGCCAAGAGAATCGGAGGAGAGGTCTCGCCGTGAGACATCCCTGGGGGAACCGCATGTTCATGCGAACGCACTTACTTTGTGTAACCGTAATCCATCGGCGATCGATCGAACTCGACGCGACGGGAAAGCCATGCCGACTGAAATTTCATCGGGCGCTGGAAAAATGCGCCGTTTTTTACCTGTCTTTACGTTTACATCATCAATTTCAGTTTTATTATTCCTTTTTTTTTATTCCTTATATTTGTATTACATTGTAAAGAGAGAAACTGAGAATAAGTTAGGAATTCGCTACGCACTTCTACATTAAATTTATATATTTTTTTGTGTCCATTTCTATCAATGTACATAGATTAATTTTAATCTCAGTAACTTATTCTTTACCTTTTTCTAGTTCTAAAAATTTAATTTATATTATGATAGAAAAGGATATTAGAATTTCCAAAAATATGTGTAGTTTTAATTGTTTAATTATGGTAGTAAATCATTAAATATATATAAATAAACCATGAATTATCGATGATAATGAAATATGAACGGTAAGAAAGAACAGTTTCTTCTCCAAACAGTCGACTGATTTACGTGATTATTTCATTGAGTCAAACAAGATTCAAATAGCATTCGAGTGCTGTATTGACAGATTTATAATATCTTTACCGCCGCATCGTATTTAGCTGTCAAGGATTATTGTCAGCTTAACGATGAACGAAACAGTGCAGGAAGACGATGCTTAAAATTGCAAGGACGCGCCGCGAAAATGAATCATGCAATGCATCCTTCCAATTCTAAACACGATGTATCCTCAGAATAACAAACATATGATTAGGAATTCAGATAATTATTATATTAATGCAAGAAATTTCTATTAGTTAATTCTATAAGTTTTATTTTAAATAGAATTATATTGATATAAATTTCCTATGAAGAAAACTGAAAAATAATTTTTTAAACAATTTATTTTTTTTGAAGTTCTCAAATTTGTAGCAATTATCTTGATTAATAAAAATTAATTAATTTTAGAATGCCAATCTGTGTCAAATATTTCAAAATATGGAAAACTTCTTGCATTAATTTAATAATTTTTTAATGTATTTCATGTCTATAGGACATTGATTACTTATGGTCTAAATAGCGAATTTCAAATATTTTATTTTATCCATGTACAAGATAAATCTAAAAACATGTAAAGATTATTAATCCTTTTTTCCTTCTTACAAAGTCTTTATTTTAAAATATATCCATATGATTGTTAGTAGATACACTGCGGGATACTAAAAATTCAAAAGTGCCAAATCATATGCAAAAAAAACCGAGCAAATGGTGCTCGCGTGGCGGGCCAGGCCAAACGGACACTCGAACCAGTTTTCGCGAAAGCCGAAAGTAAAGGGGTCGACGAAGCGGGTCTCTCGATATGAATGTCCTTTAATTAGAGCGGCCTGCTGGACCTTCATTCGGGCGCGCGTGTTTACAGAGTATTAGTTAATATATGACAGTCACACGCGCGGGGAGGAGATGTGGATGGACACGTGCTGCCGTTAGAAAGTAAAATGCCACTCGGCGAGTTCGTTTTTGGCCATTGTGAACATCGTTTGGTAGATCCTCGATCGGACATTTACCCCTCTCATTTAGGACCGCCCCGATCCACCGTAAAGATCGCAATTTATCGCCGTTGCCGACACGCGTTTTCTTGCCAACCGTTCATCTGGACGACAGTTGAAGTTTTTCACGGGAGTCGAGTGTGAACGAACCGTTAAAATTTTCGGCAGTGATCTGCGGTAGATCTGCGGTAGCTACAGTTTGCAAGAGATCAAAGCAATATACGAACGATCGTTGGTAATTTATCACGATGTTCGTATACTACGAGTATTATTGCAATTCGTGACATTTTCAAGATGGATGAGAAGATACAATCATTTGTCCTTTTTTTCTAGCTAAATCTTTTTATTCTAAATTGAGAGTCAGAATATATCTATGAAATGTTTTATCGATTTTTGCATCACGCTGAAGATAAAAAACTATGATACAGAAAAGGAAGTTTCTCCGTGTAATCTCGGATTAAAATCTTTGCTTTATTTGTGATGAAATATTTGATCTATTATCAAACCAAATAATGAAAGCGTAAATCTAAAAAAATGATTGATAACTTCATACAGCAAAAAAAATTGTTTGATAGATCATTCAGTCGCGATCGCAAGCAATTCATCAAAATCGATCAGCCGGGACTGTTACTGTCAGGTGCTGTCTCGCTCTAAACTGGTTCTATAGCTAATTCAATCAATTAAACGTACGATGGGGTGCATTACACATGTATCAGCGATAGATACCCATTAAGTGCATATTCAACAGCACACCTGGACGTGTTCTTCAGTGAAATTAAGGAGAGCTTTGAATTTCAAAGTCATGAATGGCTTGAAGCGCATTTTCAATCAATCTGTCATTTAGTACAAAATTCGGGACAATATACCATCTATATATAATTTTAAATTATATGACAATATTAATGCAATCTTAATATTATTTCTTGCTAATGTAACATTAAAAATACGGATGATTCTCGGAAGAATGCTTAAATTAAATTAGATAAGAAAATTAATGTGCAAAATTTTCGGAACGAGCATATATTCATACAAAGTCTAATTCACACGTTTCGGTGATTTGCCATCAATCATGCTCGGAGATGCTAATCATCCGTTGCACCGTGTAACGGTCGAAAATCCATTTATGAAGCAACGTTTCGTCGATATTCGATTTAACGCAGGTATGGTTCCGTGTTCAGGAGGCACTGTATTAGTTACTATTATCGAAATGACCAGCTAGGATGACAGCCATTAAAACTATGAACCAGCTGCTTCCCCTCGCGAAGTTCCCCCATAGGTGGAAGACCCTGCGGTGCATTGTGCATTATAATTAACCATATAGCGACCATGCCTAGTCACCCCCATGCTCGTATCGACGTACAGATAAATAAACTACCCATCTACACAGGGTGCCGTTAAAAATATTGCTACGTACTGTTGTAAAATTATACGTTTCAGAATCACGTTGCTTTGTCACGTAAATGTACGTATAAACTAAAGAGTAATATATTTTTGTTCAAGATTTCTTACGCGTAATTTATTTTATTTAAAAATTAGCGATTTATTAGGCTTATTACTTCAGAAATATATTTTTCATTTGTATTATTCTGATGATTCTGATAATATAAGTTATTTCAATATCTTTATTTCCTTATTTCTCTTTACTGTATAAAAAAATTTTCAAAAAATTTTCATGAGTAACTGGTTACCGTACGCATAGTTTTCGTGTCACCCTATAGTTTTACCCCCATGCGTCCATCGGGACCACCATGGCACGTGTCCAGGTGGATGTTACAAAATGTTCGTTACAAAGCGCGATTCGTGTTGCTCAGCTGTCTAATTTTCGATGATTTCGACTCGGCCACCACGTGTCGATTAAAGAACGTGTCGATGGAATATCAGATAATATCGCCTGCCGCTTTTTAACGTCTGTACAACGTATTATTAATTTAAAAGACTTGGGGTGATAACATGGAACACCGAACAAATAATATAGCAATATTACGTACGGAATAACTACTATATCAATTGATTAGTTTTTAAGTTTCTGTTTGTAGAATTAACATTATATCAATCGAATTAATCGAAAGAAAATAGTCACAAAGTATAATTATGAAAATTTATAATTTTCATATCCGCATACCTTTATAAAATGTAAATAGTAAATGTAAGTAAATAGAAAAAATAGAATATGATACGTATATTAACTACCCACCTACACTGGGTGCCGTTAAAAATATTGCATATACAGCATTCCTAATATAATAGTAAGGATGAAAAAATAATAACGCAAGAAATAAGAATGAAAGCACAATAGTTTATTACTAGCTTAAGTGACTAGATGACTAGAGAACTTTCTCTCTTAATCCTAAGACGACATATACATAGGACATTCTCCTGTCTCTCACGCGACGAGAGTGCGGAGTTGCGAATTGATGTTTGTAATCAATTAGTCTTTGGAGGCGCTGCATCGTTGGCTTCGTCACTGGAACCAACCGTTTCAGGCTTTCGATGGATCGTCGCCGCTGTGAGAAGTTTTCAATATATAGAGCTCGTTAAAAACCATGTCAGTAAATTGCTTTAAATTGACATAATGGTTTATCGATCATTCAAGCATTTTAGTTGTCAATCGCGATTCTCACGGTGCTGAGTCCATCCAAACCTCCATAAATCACAAATTATTTACAAAAATTAATTAATACGTCTGTCGCGATTAATTCTAAAGAGGATTATTTCAATAATTGATCGATTGATAATATATGATGCTCGAAAGACCAGGGAATAAATATACAAATTTCGGTAGCGCAGACGAAGTCCGATTTACGCAAACGATCGTTAAAACCCCGCGCCTGAGAATTTATGCGCACATTTCATATTACTTGGCAATCATTATCTTGCAGTAAGTCCATTATAATTTTAAAAATCGTATTTAAATAATATTTAAATAATATTTTAATAGAGTCAGCTAAATGTAAAATATATATTAATTTTTTAAGTTTTAAACTGCTTTTGAGTTGATTTTTTTGCCGCCCGGCATATTTAAGTTAACATGGCGGTTTTTTTTGCCACCGCAGCAAAACAAGAGAAAACCGCATGTGTATGCACGGGGTCTGTGCGACAGAATATACGAATCAGTTCAACGTCGTCTTCTACGTGGTCTTCGTTATTGTCGTCGTTGTCGTTGTCGTGGTGGTCGCCTTCGTTGTTTTCGACGATTCCACATTTTGCTTCGATACGTCTACCGTGGCCGTCAGCGGCTTCTTGTTCACGTCGCACACTTTTCGTGCTCGCCAATAATCTGCAACAAAAATGTTGAACGGCTATTATTAGATATGTATCATTTAAACGTCACAAAAAGTTGTAAGTTGTTATTAATAGCACTATTATGTTACATAAAAATAAGTGAAATTAATAAGAAAGTCGTTCGTTCCGTTCATTCGATACGCGAATTTCGCGCCATGTGAATAGATATGTATCTCCACGAAGAAACACGTGAAGCTTCTCGTAACAAGTATATTCTCAAGGTTCCGTAATAATCTACGAGGTTTCGTGGATCGACGGGGTCATCTACGTCAAGGCAACGACGTAGTGTAACCTGTATATAGGAACACCATGCAGGAGACGCAGTACGAAATTTCCACAACAAAGACCGCGTCTTAGGGACACCCTAAGTTCGATCAGGTAGCCACCTGAGCGCTCTACCCTCGTTTCTTTCTGCTTTTCTCTCTCTCTCTCTTTCTGACTGACTGCTTGACAGGTGCGACTTAATGTTAACAGCACCGGTTTGGAAATCTGCTCTTTTCTCCGATACTCTGACAAAAATGTGAAGGGCGTAAAATTCACGTTTGCATCTTATATTTCATCATGAAAGCCTATTATACAAAGAGTCTATAGTATTCGAAGCGACAGAATTGCTAGCATCTCACGTGGCTTAGCATTAGTTTCGGTTAAGTTTTCACCTGTTTGTGCTGTTCGCAGCTAAAACCATAAAGTCACATTATTGCGATCATATTTTTGCGACGTTTAGTTAAGTTCACAAGAATCTTGATTGATCTTTTTCTTAATGTTCCTAACACGAGAATAGAACTTAATCGGTCATTATTATCCATAACGTGGCATTTAAAGTACTGAGGAATATTAGCGTTCGCGAAAGAGTGATATAACAAATCGAGCGCGGTCCAGACCGATAAATCGACGTGAAAAAAGACTGAAAAAAATCCATACAACGGCCATATGCCGAGGACATGATCCTTTCTCCGCGCTTCTCTCTTTTTGGCAACGGTCCGCCATATGGTGCGCGAAACCGAGTTCTTCCTCAACGTCTTTTCTTTCTCTCTTTCTCTCTCTCTCCCCTCCCTCGCTCTCCCTCCCCCCTTTTCTGCAGTCGCGTTTACAATTTCGCTTGTCAACATCTGTTTCCACGCCTCAACGTGCCGCGAAGTAGATCCTAGATGCACCGAAGAAAGCTCGACGTTTACCTGTCCATATGTCTCGAATGTGATTCCGTCTCAAAAATTTTCTTTTGTTCGCGGATCCGAATGTGGGTTCTTCATTCGAGCGAAGGATTTCGTTTGAATCCTAGGCTCTATAAGGCGTCTTCGATTTTACGGGGAAACCACACGAATGGATCACGAAGTCTGCTTTAAGTCGCGATTGAAGAAGCTCTTTGTCAATATCTCAGGAGAAGGTCGAGAGTTTTTTTTATTTCACGATGAGAAAATAATACCGCTATATCCTCCGTTTCTTGCGATACAATCCGTGCTTAATCTCTCCGGTTAATCATAGATGGAAGAGCACTTTCTCGGTCGTGTAATTTAGGCCAGATAGGTACAGTATACAACATGAAAATTTAGATATTTCTTTATTTGACAATTTTATTGATTGTATGTAGATCTTAATTACTTTTTTTTAAATCTTGAAGCAAATACAAGGCTGAAACGCGAACACGTGACAACTAAAATTGCTACAATAAGTAAATTATTAGGAAAAATGTATGTATATGTGTATATGTGTGTGCGTGCTATACTTTATATCGTTAGATGAATAAATTCTGTTAGTTTTCAATGATCCAAGATGTTAGATGTAAAGCAGAAGTGCGAATTAGTGCATTTAGTCCTTGTATTTGCATCAAGTGCAACTTGTCTCGGCAGGTGGTGCGCGACCTTCGTAAGGTCCCGCGCGGCACGGTATCGCGTGTTCGCGGGTCTGATTTAATCGTGGGAAAAGACGTTCCAGTCGTCATGGGCCCTTAGCAAGGGCCAACAGGTGTCGGTGGAAAAAGAGCTGGTTGCGCCGTCCCGCTCTGTTGAATTTTCGAGGGTCTCTCGTTGTGTTTCCAGGCCCAAGAAGTCACCGTGTGTGTGTGGGTGTGTGTGTGGGTGGGAGGGGGGGGATTATCAGTGCAAATAGGCACAGGATCTCAGTTCGAGGTTGAGAAACCATAGGTTTCCCCCCCTCTGCAAGATTATCGCGTACGCGTGTTTCAACGTACGGACGATTTCTTTAACCTGCGAACCACTATGAATTCCTATATAATTTCAAAAAGCATATTAGAGCCGTTCTGTACGCTGATCGAGGAATAAACATCTTTTTTTTTAGATGCTCTCGAAGAGCAAGATACTTTCGATCCGATTTCGATCTGACATGCTATTTGCTCGACATTATCGGTCGTGTTTAGAAACATGCAATATTTTGCACTTGGTCGAGGAAATAAAATGTCCATTGTGCATAAGAATCCATGCGATAAAGCGAAAGAAGCGAGCGTGATTGATTCATGCCTGAAAAATCCAAGGAATGCAATCGCGAGTCTCTTTTACTCCTTGGAAATTCGGGGCCCTTCGATGACTCACAGTGTCCTACAGGTACGTGTGTCGCTCGCCTTAGACGCATGACTCATAGCCGTGATCTCATTCCCGATCGCAACGTGTTCCTTCCCTAAACTGCACCCTGCACGAACCGGCGACCGATCGTTTCTCACGATCGCCCACCACACGTGTTCACTTATCTTTTCGTGATAACGCAAGTATTTTTTTCGTAGATATATATTTGGTTGCCGCGTAGAAGCCAGTGAATGCGTTCTCTGAATATGACGAAATTACAGAAAAAAAATAGTGCTTTATTACTGAAAATTAATTTTTTTTTAACGAAACTACAATTGTTTATAACTTTTCAACTTATTAAATATTTTAATATTTTCAAATATTCCATATTTGGTTAAAAATTTGTTTTCAAAAATACACAAATTTCAAATTAAAAAAATTATTGACGAAGATGAAGTCATTAATTTACCTTTTATAAATAATTAAAAAAACATTGCTCATATATTGAATTCTATTTACAATACAATTCCAAATTGTTTAAGAATTGGTAAAATCTGTAGAAATAAGTTACATACACTTATGTGTTTAAATCGTCATCAGAAGGGAAAGCTACAATTCTTTAGTCCGGGATTTAGACCACTTTGGATTATCGCTGCAACGGGTCTGCGACCCGTTTACAACGCGTGCTTCTGGCGTAAGAAAGCGACAGCCCGACAGGGTGGAAGGTTGGTCAAAGGAGAGCGTAAGACGGGTAGCCGGGAGTATTCTGGCGAGGGACTATAGAGGCGAGAGGAGGAGAGAAGGCGGAAGAGGCGGCGGGCTTAGAATAAGAAAACAGGTCGGAGAGCCACGCGACCAGGTCGCGTCTGCGCGTCCGGCTTCCCTTTCTTCGTCACGTCTTTCCCGCCAAAAAGCCGCGGATCCGTTTCTACGACGCCACAGCGAATAGATTCGCAATCCCGTTCCAGCGTCATCCATTAGGCATAAATAGCAGTCTATTAATTAAAAAAATCTGATTCGAACGTTGGAGTTTGCTTTCTTATAACGACGCATTGGTTACAAGTCGCAAGAACGCGAATATTCATTGCCATACTGCGCCAGTGTCGTTACATAATTCTGTTCCCACCTCAATGATGAACTTTACAGCGGCATGCCATGTTGAATTATGTGTAAGAGATATTTTTAGAATGTGTGTCCGCGCTCATTAAACCCAAGAAGACGATATTGGCCGACCTACTTTCGTGCTACTGGTACATGCATTCCGTGAAATTCTCACTCGTTGCGTTCATCCGCAGAAACTTGTCGAACGTTTAATACGTATATGACTCATGCTCCCCTCATGCATATTCCGCGGATATATATTATACGCATGTGGCGCGTTCGCGCGCGCCTAAAAATTGCCGCCGGGCAAATTTTACGTCAATAAAGTTTACGCGTTGATATTTTGCGACGAGAGAAAGAGAGAGAAAGAGAAATGTTGCTCACCGTGAATGCTGGTCTGCCTTGAATACGGATTACTCCGCTTTTTGCCGGGCGACCGGTCGCTCCTCTCGTTGTTCCGCCTCTGATAATTATTCTCCTTATCCTCGGAACAAGGATCCACCCCCCATCTTCTAGCGAATTTGCGCCTGTCCGCATCCAGCGCCTCCTGGAGCATCTCTATGGTCTCCCGCGAGTTCGGCCGACCGAAGAGGCAGCGTGGTACCCGCGAGGTCATAGTCGTGCTGGGCAACACCGTGTAGTAGATCTCGTGACAAATCGAGGCTACCAGCATCTCGGGTACTTGTTGTGTCTCCACCGTAGTCGCACGCGTAGTCGTGGCAAGTGGATTCTCGGGAGCCTTCGTTTTCCAATTCGAAGTACGTACCCGCGCGTGCCTCTCCGTTTCAGCGAATGTGACACCCACGGACGTAGAGCTGCCTGCAGTTCTTCTCCGTACGGTATCCCGGAAGAGCGGGTGAATCTTTGGCCGTGGAAATCCTGCTGATCCGCTCGACTTTTCTGTGAAGTTTCTTCCTCGATTCTTCAGTCGCTCAGTCACGGGCCGTCGCGCGATGTCGAACAGCTCCGTTCAAGACCAATCGACCCTCAGTCCTCACCGTTCCACGGTCAGACTAGTTCTGGTGGGATCGTTCTCTGGGCGGTGGGAGCCAGTCAGCTCGTATCCGTTTGAGCCGTAGCCACGAGGTCCGGTGTTCCCTTCTACCAGACGTTTGAATTCAAATCTGATTGGAGCGCCGTGCGGGCTGCGCAGTAAAATTGGCGCGAATTTTGCGTAGCGACATCCTCGTCGCGCGAACGACGGCGTCCGCTCGCTCGTTCTTTTTCTAGTTGCGCGCGTTCTCCACGTGTAACCCTCACCACCGTGTTCTCTCGTTTGAAATCGTCCAACGGATTATGCTAAGCGATCTCTCGTGGTAGGGAAGAGCGAGCGCGCGCACCATGAAACGTGCTTTTTGCCTTTTTTCTAAGTAGCATGACGTATAGAATGATCACGATCGTAGTTCGAGCGTGTCGCGGGATGGGATTCGAAATGATCCATCTTCCGAGCTTTTTTCTGGATTGCGTTGATGCTGCGCCTTATCGATGCGCGCGGAAACAGTCTCTTTATCGTTGCCACGCAGATTACTCTATTCATTTTTATTCAAATTAATAGATATTTAAAATCTATTTCTTAAATTAATTTTATAAAAAAATCTGTCTGTAGATACTGAAAAAACATATAAGTTTTAAGAAATTAAATGGGTACTTAAAAAATGAATAAGTTTTAAGGAATTAATTTTAAAAATATATAATTTCTCTCAATATAATAATACTGATATAAGAAGTAGATTTTAAATAAATTTTTTTTCGTAAATTCGAAATGATTTGCATTTCCATATAAATACATACCTACATTAGATTCTGTTTAAAAATTGTTACTGTTATTTTAATTCTTTTGTAGATAGTATTTTAATAAAATGTTAGATCGAATTTGATGCTGTAAATTAGATTGGTACAAAAAGTTTGTCTTTCTATTCAGCTCCAGTTTGAGGCGAGGTTTAGAAATTGAATAACATTTCTCCGGAAAAGTTTATGGAAGAATAGATTTTGATTCTGTAAGCGCCCAATGAGACTGCAGGGACAGTTCGTCCAATTGTCGTGGACACGATTGCCCTGAGCATTTTTGCGGGAAGTCGGGCGTTCTGCAGCAAGAAGAAAAAACGGTCGCCCGAGCAGGTGGAAGCAGCCGGAGACCGAGAGGGAGAGACCAAGTGGAAGCAAGTCCCGGAGAGGCAGAGAATCGCCCTTCGAATCGCCGCAATCGCGCTTTCTCGAGCGCATAGAAATTTTCGGTAGACGTGGCTTACGAACGAGCCACCGTAACTGTAATCGTGCGGTTTTCGTAATGATTAACTCTGTGATGTAAAAGGGGTGCATCGCATTATACGCCTGCTTAGTATTACATCTTTTCGTGAGATCAATAGCTTGTCGCCTTCCACTGTTAAGTCACCTCGTTACCTCGCCTTTAAATTAGCTGCGTTAACGCCAGTTAGTCATAATCGCTATTTTACATTATTTTTTTGCGTATTCTATACATTTTCTATGAATACCTGGTCTTGTGTAGCAAGTCAACACGATTCGGTAGGGCGCTTTCTATAGGATATTCAAAATGTAAAGAATAAGCTAAGGTCTCACCTCTGATCCTCGGGTGCCACAGTTCTTTTCTTCTCTCTTCAACAAAAATCGATTCGATTATGACTTAGCTCGTTTGTGAAAAAACCATGGCCAATACTACATAAAATAATTTGTAGAACGGTCGATTGAAATTTTGATAATATTCCATGCAATTGAAAAAACTCAGACGTTAGGCCACTTTTATCGTATGCAAAAAAAAACGGAAGGACGTTTACGTCACCCGTCAGAGAAAAACGTCAGTTATTATCAATCTGACGTCCGTAAAAATCCTGCGAATTACAGCTCGTAGCACGCAGGAGATCTAAATTGACTGAAATTGCGGTGCCGACCTTGAGCGCGTTGTCGTTCCCTCGAAGAACGGTGTCACTACATTCTCGCGCGCTCTGGAAAGCGACTAACTCCGCAACTGGCAATTTTTCCTCGTCTTTTTCTGCATCGTGCAAGCGCTCGATCCTATACGCGGACTCGTATCGGCGAGAGAAGAGAAATAAACGAGCGCGAAAGCTGCACGCACAAAGTGCACAGCAACATCCTGCGTTAAATGTTTCCTCCGCTCCGGTGAACGCACGATTTTTGCGTCGCGTGGGTAAACTGGCTCAATTACTCGCGATCGTTTCAGCCTCATGTATACGGAGGCCGAGCGACGTATCCGCCGCGCCGTTTAGACGCAACAAAGGATAGAAAAAAAAAAACGCTTTATAAGATGTTAATTTAAACGAGAAATAGCGAGTTAATTGGACCTTAAAGACACAAGATAAAAAGACTTTTAATTTCTTTGCGCAAGAGTCACGTTTAGCATTAATAGATCATTTATCAAATGTTACGTGATCTGAATAAAATTGATATCTCGTTCAGTGATAAGCAAACCGAGGCTAAATTTTATGATGAGACAGATCATCTCGAAGAAAAGCACGAATCATTCGTGAATGATAATTTAATACTTCGCTGTTTAGCTTGAGGTGTTATTAATTAAGCCGTTATTTTTTTAAAGCATTCAATTGCAGAAGTTTTCTTCTTTATCAGAACCTCAATCGGATTCCGAAGCGTTCGAAAACGATCGGATCTTTTGCGTACGAAGATCGTGTACAGCCTCGGGTGCATCCGAGTTGGCGGCGTTCCACTGTTTACGACGTGGCTGGAATTTCAAAATTTTCAGAGCATCTGCAACCCAACGGCAGCTGTCTGCACATCCCACTTATTCCCGGTACAATATGACAAACGCGACGATGTACAGGCGCCACCGTCTCATTTCTGTCAAGGAACGTCAAACTGTTCCGCTATCGTATCTTCTCGGATAACGAGATTTTAAAAGGAGGATTCAAAACAATATTATTTCATTTTCATCATTAAGACACACGGCTCTGTATCGTAAGAAAGATGGAAAGATAACCGACTCCGACGCGCGCATGGGTATCCTGCGGCGAGCAGATGAAACACTGACCGAATATATCAAATTTCCGCGTAAAAGCAGCCACGCGACTGCTTCCGTTTGTTTTCGCCGTCTGATACAGACGCGTGGAAAAGGCGACGTTGTATTCTCGCAGACGCTTTCGGATACCTGCGAGTACAGGTGGTTGCACACTCAACACGAGCTCCATTGTCCAGTTTCTACCCCTCGTCATGCCGCTTCCTACACGATTTTTCTTCCTAAACGAACCTATGGTGTTTAGTGTAATAAAATTCCACCACAGTGGTTAGTTTCTTATTAAGTAGATGAAAGATTAGTAGAAATCTTTTTATTAATGTTGCTTCGCTGACATTAAGCTTTAATTCTTATTAAAGAAAATCCTTTTCCTTTAATAAGAATTCATCAGCTTCTCTTCTCTTAAGAAATTTATTTTACATTCAAAAAATCTACCGGGCTAAAACTAAGGATTTCAGGATTGCAGAACGTCTCGGCACAAAATGTTACCACGCCTATTGATATCGACGAGAATTTTTACGTAAGATTGACAATAAACCTTCTCGTGTACGTTGTCTGGTGTAGAGAGAGAGAGAGAGAGAAAGAGAGAGAGAGAGAGAGAGAGTTAATACGCGGCTGGCAACAATCACGACCAACAGCTGACCGACCAGCTCGGCCGACACGCGGTGCGCTCCCGTTAATTTCGACGAGCCGAACGAAAGCCACGCGAGACGCATCGGCGATTCCGCAGAATTTTTCGGGGCCTCCCAAGCACGGGGGCACAGAGAGAATTTGCAAAGAGAGAAAGAGGGCGATAGAGACCGGCCTGCGGAGACGTTCGTATCTTTTATATTTGGCGCATATGCTGCCAGGTGCTCGTGTCGATGGCCAAAGGGTAGAGTTTCGAGTTTTCTTACCTTATTCCTCGCGGCTTCTTCGATCGTTTCGTTCGAAAGTTTCTTTCTCTTTCTTCCTCCCCAACGACGTCAGCTGTCGATCATCTTTTCATCCGACACTTTCCTCCGTTGCGAAGAAACGATCGTGTCTGCAAATGATAATAGCACGTATGGTATCATGGCAAGAATACGAATGCAAGAAGAAGCTACCGTTAATTCATATATTCTAAAATTGCTGTATATATTTCTAAAAAACTTAGATTTCTAGGTAAATTTTATAAATGTTATAAATCTTGTGAATGTTATTATCGAATTAATATTAGTTTTAAAAAGTGATATCATATATAAGTTTTATTTATTTCCTTCTTTTAATACTTTCATCAGTTTCTTGCATGAGGATATAATAAAAAAGAAATAAAATAAGAAACCGACGGCTTAACGGTAACATTCAATCGTCCAAAATTTCTAAAAATCGTGAACACATCCATTAGATCAATCATAAAACCGTGAAAAATAATCGAGTCAGTAATTGTCTTCGGTTCAAGTTAAAATTGTGGCATTAGCTACATCCTGGCGTGGAACCCCTGCAGATCGGTTTCTCCCTAATTTTTGACGATGCTCCGACGTCACGGTGTACGCGGGGACCCCGCGTGTTCCGGTCTGCTTGACCAGAACCGGAAGTGGGAGCCCGATGGGGAGCGCGGGGGAACTCGAAACTCGAAATCCCCCACGGATATTGGCATTCCCGCGTTTAAACGAAGAGGAAGTCGGCATTTCCTCGGAGATCCAACGGCTGTGCCGAAACGAGAGCAGGAGAAACAATTTACGCTCCGGAGAATAAAGAGATTGATTTACGCATTAATATCTGCGCGCTACAAAGATTTGAAGGCTAGATTGCTCGGCAGGCAAACTCGCTTCTCAAATCTTTATCGTGTACATTCCTTATAAGGAACATTCCTTACAATGTATCGATGGGAGAATGATTAATCGCAAACTGCGTCTGATATCAGAGGGAGTTGGGAGGTATAATCAGAGAGTAATCAAGCAGTAAAGCGCGTAATAATCAGTAATAATAACCAAACAACTGTCTCGCGAATACTTACTACGTGGAAAAATCTCAAGAAGCAATCACAAACCGTAATGATCGTTACGGGCGCGCTGGCCCATGGTGGTCACGGTGTTCACCTGTCCATGATGGAGCATACGAGAAGAGCATACGATGCCGTATGTGCACGCACACACACATCCACCATGGTCGAGCACTGCAATGTGCCCCGTACTTTTCTGTAACGGTCGAATTTACCCCTGTCATTCGACTGGCCGTGATATAGCGAGCCGTGACTTGACTAGGTGGCATTACTCGATATCATGTTTGATGTTTATAGATTTGCGCGTCTCGAATCTCGTAGCATGCGTCACACTTTATTTCGTACATGTGTATACAGATTTAACTTATTTAATTTATTTGTACGTCTAGTTTACGATATTTATATTTGAAAATAGCCAACGGCCAATAATCTTCGGAGTAAAAGGTATGAGTGAAAATGATTGTATAATATAGATAATTTTCCTTTACTAAATTTCTTAGCTCAGATAAGAAAAATAAACCTTAATGCATCGCAATCCATAATTTACCGTATTATATTACTAAGAATAAATAATATTGGAGGACCAATTGCAAAAATGCGTATGTCACTTAGTAACACGAGAAAGAAGATAGAAATTTTATTACTACTACATAATCTTGTTACAGTTGTTATTGTTGTCCAGTTAAATGATAACTAACGAACTCAAAAGTACTGGCGATAAAAGTGTGAGGTTCCGATGCAAGTGTTTTTCATCCTGTCATTCGTATCCTGTTTCTTAATAGAGTGTTCTTAATAGTGCATCATAATTGCGCGGTCTTTACGAGTCTCATTTAATTCGAAAAGATATCATGGGGAGCTTCGGGAAGTTAGACCCGGAGCACATAGAAAGAAAGCAAAAACGTACATACAGCCGAGATTCCGAACAATGCGGGAGGAAGGCGTGACGGTGAGCTTTACGAATCTCCGCTGCTCCAGCTGCTCGTACCTACATCATATTGTACATTTACCGTCGACCTTTCGAAGCCTCCACCTCCGCGCGATAGTTCGTTCAGATAGTCTGAATGCCGGCAAAAGACGGCCGAGTTACCCCCGTTGGAGGGGGTGGAACAGCTGTTTCGTTCAGTGAGAGACGAGAGCCTGGATAGTGAATATTTAAAAATCTCAATGTTCTATACATTGATTCTGCGCGCTTATCCGATATGTCTTTTAACGATAATTTCCGAAGACGATGAAATATGATTACATTTTTTTTTCACGAATGCAATTTGTAATAAAAAGGTGAGAAATCTATCGTTTCATTGTCTCAATTTAACAGTACAGTACTTTGGTATGATTTTCCATTTATTTGCACAAAGCATAACGAGATTCATTTGCGTGAAGTTTTGACTAGTCAGTTTGAGAGACAGATTGATGACGAGTTTGAAGCTCGTAGATGAAAGAAGGAAATTCTGTCAGGAAGCGCAGGCAGGATAGCCAGATGTTGAAGGTAATTAAATCGCAAATAGAAGGAAGTTTCTCACGGTAGCCTGACGGACTGTAAATCTTGTGGAACACTATCATTCTTAAAAATTAGAACTTTTCCGTCACAAAGTGCACGGCAAGAGATTCAAAGAAAACTTTTTCGTTGTTTGTAAACGAAATAAGTACTGGAACGTAATAGCAAAGTTATACAGTAATTTGTTGCAGTAGTTGCAACGTGTATTCTTGTATTCTTGCTTTTACGTTTTATTAATTTGAAAAGTCAAAAGATTCATTTCACACAAGACTTAATGTTTTAATACGTACCAGATGTCGGGAATAATTAAATCGGTGTCACGAAAGATCCCTGTTCTTCCCATCATTTGGCTAACTAAGTTCTCATATTTCCATGGTCGAAGCAGGAACAGGAAGGACATGTTCCATCGAGTGAGAAAAAAAACTGTCGGTTGATCCAACGAGAAACCGTCTTGTCGTGTGGGCACAAAGTAATTCGATCTGCTGGGCAGTTTTACAGCTTCTATCGACATTAATTGTAAAGTTGTTTTGATGTAGGTTAAAAAGATAAACATATATACATAATCAGAAACAAAAATGAGCGGATAGAGAAACAGATATTTATTTATTAGCATTTTGAATATTTTTATTATCAATATTTATTATACATTGTAGTAGAAGATGAACAAAATTAAATGAATATTAATACGTGTCTGCGTGAAGTTAGCACAACATTTTATTAATTTTAAAAAAACAATAATAGTTCCAGTAACACTTTCTATAGTTCTACCGTTCCTGATAAATATTTAAAAAATATTCCGCATTTTTAATATCAAAATAATAAAAAATAAAAAATGATGTGCTAACTTTACATTCCAGTACGGTACATCTTGCTCTAATCTACTATATACCGTCAAATATTATGACATCTATCAAGTATTCCCGTTAATTCTAAGTTTTTTACTTTTGCCATCAGCACGACACTCAACCGAAATGTGCCGTGCTGATAATTTTCAATTCTTCTGGCGACAGTTTGATTTAAATTTAAAATATGTTTATAAGAAACAACTTTTGAAAGTGATTTACTTGCGTAGAACTCAATTGGAACAAGCCAGTATTATTTAAAGATTTAGAAGAAGATGATAGAAATTTTAAGAAATTATCAAAGGTCTTCGTATTCATTATGAAACCTATAATATTGTTTGACCTCACAAAGTTTCTTGACTGTGAAATTGAGAAAACAATGTCGTTATCACGTGCGACTCTTTCCGCCGCGTCCGATTATAGGAGCGCGCAATTGCAACGCGCGTGCACTTTAACGATAGGCCTCAAACGGAAAAAAGAGGAAATTCGAAATAGCTGTTGTCAGATAGGAGAGTCGCTCGCAGACTCCTGGGAACGCGGTTCCCGCCAATTTCTTGACGAGTGCTCGAGGCGGTGTAACGGCCGTTGGTCCGAGATGCCTCGAAAGTGGCAGGTGCAACTCGGGCCAAACTTCATTAAACACAATCCCATCTGCGCCCTCATACTTCCAAGACGTCTCGTGGCCTCCGTAACTTTTTGAGGACGAGAGAGAGAGAGAGAGAGAGGAGAGAGAAGAAGAAAGGAGCCTTAGCAACTCCGGAACCTCCGGTTGGTGTATCTGTTCTTCGTCCTTCTTTCTTCTTCTTTTATCTTTGCTCGCAAGACGGGCGGATTGACTTATCCGACGCAATTGCTCGAGGAAGAACTACACGCTCTGCGTGACAACGACTGAATCGTGACAGGTGTATTTGTTCTCGCGCAACGGAAAAAAATACATAAAGGACATGGAAACATTGTGAGAATATACTAGGTCATGTTTAAATAATTTATGTGCCGCAACACAAGAGTTTCCAGTTTTTCTTTTGCGTTTATCGAAAATAATATTTTTGCATTATCGAGAAGAGATCGCTGAAAATTGTTTTTATCGCGATGCAGGACGAACCGTTTGACTTCCTTCTTCCTTACTTACTGTACATTTTAAAGTAAAAAGGAGAAGTTACTAGGCACGTAGTAATTTCGCGCACAGCAATTTCGGAATTTTTTTTCACTCCAGGCCAATTTTGAAGGTGACGAGCGTGCGCGCTTCCTGTATTAATAAAAATCATCGGGGTTTCGGGAGACTGCGAAGCGAGTCACTCCGTCGGTTGAACACAAATTATTTCTCGGAAAGAAGAGAAGCCACGAGCGCGCGTGGCCGCTCCTTCTGGCACGCGTGCCTGGTCCTTTTAGACCCTTGAGATTTATTGATTTTAGAATGTCTAGTCAGGCTGCGTAGAAAAAGATCGAGATCGGGGACAAACAGCGTTCATTATATACCCGCATTGTTCTCGCATCGATTGAGAATTAACGACGCGTATAATAATTATTAATTCATTAATCGCACGACTGCGTACAATATGAAAATACTGAGGCATGATGAAAACTTGAATATTTTTTAATTCGTTCTTTTAATAATTGAACTAATAATTTTGCAATCATGTAATCATCATAATTCAGGATTGCCGTTATACGAAAAATTATTCCCACAAATTCTCTCTCTCTCTCTCTCTCTCTCTCTCTCTTTAAATTGCAATGTTGTTTTATTCTGAAACACAGTATTTTTATACGATATAGCGATCTATTTGTTAATCAAATATTTTGCACAGCGCGCAATCGGTATAACAAAGAGACAGCTTGTTATTTCTATATATAAAAAATCCTCGAGAACTCTTTACACATCTCCCCATAAATCTCTGCAAAATAGACGACACGGGGACACTTTCCACAGCTTACCCTCCGCGCAATATCGTCAAAGAAGTTCAGTTCGAACGAGGAGCGAAGAATAATAGCCTTTACAGGATCTTTAAATTTTAAAGGGATGGCGCCCGAACAGCTGACGCTTTCTAAGATGTTCAGGTATTCTTTCCAACAAATTCGCTACATTTTCTAGAAGCAAGTCAAGCAGTTGTTGTCAGAAAATATTAGCTGCAAAAATATAAAAATTTAACAAATATTCTTATTTTATTGTAAGAAAGAATAAATTCGATAAATAATACTTTTATTCTTTCTTTTTTTAAAATTCTATTACTTTTATAATAATATAAATATATTTTCTCTATCTATATTATCACTATATTATCGGGTCGATTCAGAACGATTTGCTTTTAATATTTCCCATAGTTCTCACGGTAATAGAAACAATGTCTCCCGTATGTTTCACGTTTCAGTAGACATTCCTGCTGACCAATTAATACGGACAATCGTAAATTTTTCTGTGGCATCTGCTGCCAACGATATGATATCCAGGTGTTAAACGAAGGGTGTGTCCGTAGTGTTTGATATTTTTTTTCTGCCGGAATCGGTATGAAATACGATCTTTTTCCGGTACGCGTCACCGAGCGACGTACATCGTAGATGATATTCTCGTCGTTACGTGAATACATCGGAGGCTTGCTATGTAAATTCGTAAAATATTGGAAAACAATGCAACCGTTTATATAAACAACATTGCATCGATTTCGCTTCGAAAATCACTTGAATTGAGATCAATATACATAAAGGATGTATGCCGCACAGAATATTTCCCGGCTGATCAACGTTCACACGATTGCGCAGATGGCGCCGTAAATGTTACAGTTTATCAAGTAACGAGGTAATTGGGGTGGGCGTAACCGTGACGGATACAGGGGGCGATTGAAATCCCAAACTATTTGTTAAGTCTGGTTCTAATTAAAAAATGCTGTGTTTCCCAGTGCCATACGTAATCTTTATTGGCACATCTCCTATGGATCGACGAGCGTCAATTCAATCCGTGAACACCGAGTATTTACTAACGGGAAATATTCAAAGGAAGAAAAGAAAACGAAGACGCATAGTATACAGATAATTTAATTTAATTTAAATTATATACGATTATTAAAATACTAATAGAATTCTAATAGAAATATTTATTTGTAAATAAAAGTAGATATTTCTCTTTAATAATCTTTATTAGAATAAGAAATCCACGTGATATGTAATTCCATGTACGTCTTACAATTCCTTCCATCAACATCTCGTTGACATTTCTAAAAGTTATTTGTGCCATCGCTTTAAAACTATTTCTTTTAAAAAGTATAATAATACCTTACGTCTTGAAACTCTTTAAAAATCCTTCGAAATTGGTTTTCCTTTTTTTTGCGCACGCCATAATAAATATGAGAAAAAGAGTATCAGAACGAGAACGATACCAACAATTATTGTACCACTAATCGTCAGAGATTTAATAACGATTTTGTCAATATTGCAATTAGTCTCTGAAACAATATTATGTTTTGATTTTTCTGATACTATAAACTCTAACTGAAACTAACTGCTAACTAAAAGCAATCAGTGAAATCAATATTTTAATCATAGATGAAATTATAATTATACTATACCTGTTCTCGTGCAATCGTTGGAACACTTATTGAAAACAATTAAGTGGATATTAGAAATATCAACATTTATGTCCTTCTTGATGTTTATTCTAGTATTCATTTTGCATATAAATATTCCATTTTTTAATGGAGCGGAGAATAATTGCAGATGTTTAATCATTGTATTTCCCGTTATTCTTGTTTCTGTTAAATATTGTGAAAATATTTTTATAACACTTTTATACTTTTTTAAAAATGAAATAATAAGAATAATACTTTTGTAACATTTTTAAATGAAAAAAATCGAAATAAAATTAAGTGTGTTGTATTATATGACGTTTGTGTATGCATTTTTTGCAAAATTTTATGATGCAATTTGATGTATAACGAAAAGATTATTACCATTCAAATGCAAGTCGACGAAAATGGAATTAAGGAAAAAGTTGCTATTGTCGTGAATGTAATCAAAAGTAATTTCGTTCTTCTTATTGCACTTCTTATTGTACACTTGATTTTGAACAGGTTTCCAGCTCAAAGTCATATTGGCTCTTTTTTCAGCGCAAATACTTCTCTTGTTGACTGTTGCGTTCGTCGGAACAATCAATGTAGAATTTATCTAAAAGTGCAATTGTGTATTCTGTTATACACGATAAAAGAATGATTAAACATATAAACATATATGTATATGTCATTTCTGGCTAAGTAATCGATTTAAAAAAATATATGAATCGTTGTTACGAGCATTTTTACGAAGTGTTTCTTCAGAAATACGCGACGCGATATTTCTTTTTATAAATTATATTATTACTTATTTACCTGAGAATCTTCCGTCGTGTGTTGTAAATTTATACGAATCGTCATGTTTGCCAGAATGCACGCTACTCCTTTCTCATCTTTAAGAACATAATTAAATTTGGGAGTGATATGGTACGAGTATGATAGTGAGATTCTATTCATATTTTCAATTGTAATTTCTGTCGTAGCATTGACGATTGCATTAGTATCGGTAGAAGTTGAATTTGTCTCTGCTGTTGTAGTTGGTGAAACTGTTGGAGTAGTCGACGTCGGAACAGGCTTCGTAGGACACGTTGAAACAGGCGTCGGAAGAGGTGTCGATGTTGTCGTAGATTTTTCCGTTATATTTTTACAATCAGGTATTGTCGGCGTTTCAGTTGTTGCGCTTGATTCTGTTGGATTCACTGTCGTAGGTTCTGGAGAAGCTGTTGTACTGTTTCTCTTATTTACGTCTGGTTTCTTTCGCAATGTGATACTTCCATATGCCTCGGTGGTGCACGCAACTATTAGAACAGATATTTTATCGATATTTACTCATTCAATTTTATATTTTCTCAAAGAAAATTAATTTAGATAGTTAAAGTGAAGGTATCAATTATCATAAAATCGACAGATGGAAATTATTATACTTAAAAAGATAAAATGGAGTTACCTAACTGTAGATCAATAAAATTTCTATTCCGACTAACAAGATCACTATCCCGATCAGTACTGTTACAGATGATCGCTTCATATTTTATCGTCAATATTTTTTGATTTAAGAATTTATCAGCATATACGCACCGCTATTTTACCATATCTGTTACGATTAATTGCAATAACAGTATTTAATAGTAAATAAGATACGAAAGAAAATCTTGAAACAGTTGAAACAAAAACAGCTATGCACAACACATATGCAATGGTCACAAAAGTGCACATCAGTCACTTGAAAGACTAAATTATCCGATCGCTCGTGCGACAAGGGTTAATATAGACAATGAATATATCCCTACCCCCGACAATATAATTGGAATTTCTGTTAACCTTATCATTTCGTTTTTGGCCAGACGGTGCGATAAAGGTATCTCTAATCTTTTCCTCCTAACCAATCGATAGTCGGACTCTAAGTGTCGTAATTATAACGATTATTCATAAAAATTTATTTTTTAAAATTCTTTTTCAAATTTTCATCTTTTTGTAACTCTATACCAGGCGTAATATTTAGCAGAACAAATTTAAAGCGGTTCGGAAATATGCTTCTCGATTTACAGTTGCGTGCAATATAAAAAAAATGGATATTATTTTCAGTGATATTACATATTATTACAGCACATAATTGTAACCGAATAACGCCTTAAACGCGCAGTAACAATTAACGGATCACGCACGAATGCACCCTTTTCCGCCAAATATCGCCCGCGCCACCGGACATTATTGTCCGGCTTTTCGTTTCCGCCGTATTATTATCTTCTTTGTTTGGCGACTCGTGCCGCGCTGCAATCGAGTGTAATCGACGAGACAAACCCCGGTCTCCTTTTACCCTCCCGCGCGAGCATGCACCCCTTTTCCAATTTCGTTGATTCGCGAGTTGGTTGCGGTTTCAACTATTATCTTGACATGCAGCACGTGGTGGTGGAAAAAGGCATTGTCGTGACGAAAAATCGCGCTCGACGTGGTCATGCGACACACCCGGTGGTCATTAATCACGCATTAAGCCCTTACCAATCATTGATCCCGCTTTCTAATGCAACGCTATTATTCTTTCAGCTGTCTAATTCGCGGTTTCGTCTGGCTTTTTCGTCCGTCAGTTTCCTGCGCGGTTGAAATTACGTTGGATTTGGTTTTGTCTATCACCACAGATTTTCCTGGGCAGACGATGAAAATAGTACATTGAAACATTATTTCATTCATTATGTGATTTATAATCGATATCCTATAATTATAAAATACATTTGAAGATACATTCTGGAAATTTTCCTTGAATTTAGAAATACTTATCCTGATTATCTTCAACATTTCCGAATAATTAGAGATATGGTATCTAAAATGTTTATAAAAACCAAGAAACTATTTTATATAAGAAAATATGTAGAAAACATCATGGAAACGTAGAAACCAGGACAATAAATGGTGATAAATGGTTATTCTTATTTACAACAAATATAATTTTCGAGATTTTTGTGCGTTTTTCTAAATCACGTGCGCTATGCTATTAGTTGAAATTTGTGTGCAGTATTTTTATTTATTTATTGGGGAATATATTTTTCGTAACGATTCTTTTCTTTTGTAAGTTCAGTAGATGTCGATAAACAGATAAACGATGTAGGTAAACGTTGAAAAAATTCCCAAAAAACGGCATACGACGTTTCGAATTTCGAAGCATCTGCTCGGTCACGAAACCCTTCGGTCTTTATCTTGGAGCGATCTTGGTCTAACGAAATCATCGGGCAATTCTCTTTTTACTCTGGCTAGACTGCGCTCGGCAAACGGGCTATCGTGATTAAGCTCCTTTAAGGATCTATTCAAGCCGTCTAATTTATCGAAAATACACACCGAGGTGGCGCAAACGCCGAAGCGCGTAATATCGCAAACGCGTTAGACGGGAACATCTGCTGTGCTACGAAACCCTTCGGACGTCTTATCAGTCGATCGTCATGTGGAAATTGTTAAAAATAACGTCGAGAGGCGGTCGGGCGCCCCCGCGGTGACACAACGTCGAGATTTTGATAGATCAAATCGGAGATCGATTTTGTTCAATCGACCATCTGCCGCCGTCGAAGGGTTGTTTGTGCCTACCCCTTTCTTGGACCTTTGGACCTTTACGTGCGAGTGGTTACCCACAATACACGGCGAAAGGTGCACCAACAATACAAATAATTGATTATTTCGATTGCTTCATTCGTGTCACGAATATTTCACGAATAATGCTGGCTGTAACATTTATTGTTAGTTAGTAATTATTGATCTTTTGAATTATATATTCTATTCGCTCGTGTGCGATAACAAACGCGCTTTGTTATCGCACACGAGCGAATAGAATTAAGTTGTGATTTTTATGAGAACTAGGACCCCGGAAGCGGTTTAATTAATGGCTGATTCAATAATTTATGTGAGTACGCGTAGGACGCAGAAATTCTCACAAAAACTTGTATTGACGTTTTCACCCCCCGAGAAAGAGAGTTTCCCATAGAGGCACCCCCGACAATAAATAATGCATGTCGATTTGCTCCGCTTCGTGGCGGTTTTACGCGAAAGGTGTGACAGCGAGACGAGAAAATTGAACAAAAGATTTACATAAATTCCGCTCTCATGTGCCTCGTATCAATTCAGCATTTTTTGAGAGATTGGCGCTATTGATGAATAAATTTTCTGATTTGTTTTTACGAGGAGATTGCGACGACAAAATTGATATCGAGGCTAATTCGAGCGAAATCTGGAAGGGTTCATGAATGAACATGATTATCGTACGATCATTTCTGCGCGATATTTTATTACATTCGCATACAAATATCTGAATATTCATTATCACTACTATGGGAGAGCATGGAATTAATAGAATCAGAGGAAAACTCATTGTACAGATTTGCATATCTATATGTATGTATAGACAAAAATGTAACGTTTTATGTTGTTTATTATCAATCCGTGGTAGGTAATAAAATTCACTGAAACGAGAAATGTAATATTATTATATTGTACCGTGCATTTCGTTTCCTTCAATTAGTCGTTGATAAAATGTCTAAGAAAACATATAGCTTAGACAATTATTTAGAAAAAATAGTATTCTCAAAATTTTCCTTTTCAATATTAACAGTCGATTAAATCCTATAATAAGAAACTTTGAATCGAAAAACGCATTTTCTTCGGTCGTTTAAGGAATTACTTTCTTGTGCGCAAAAAATGCGTGCTCACTCGACACGCATCGCGGAGTGGCCAATTTTTGTTCAGACTGAATATAATTGCGGGGGCATTAACTCACACGTTAACTCAATTTCGCCAACCCTTCCATCGCGTTGGTGCGTCGCAGATTAACGGCCCTGAGAGCCGATATCGCGACATACGAATTGTGCGAAAGTTTCGCGAGCGACACCTGCAAAGACCTATACGGACCTACGCGAATGGAGAGTCCACGGTTCCACGCGTAAAATTTATGTTGCGTGAAGCAACCGTCCTTTCGCGAAGTGCCTTTTCTCTTTCGTGAGAAACGGCTGCAACGGCGATCGTCCGTAACACGTCGAAGCGTAAAAAGTTTTACGAGATAATTGTAATGTCCGTAAATAACACGAGAAGGTATGCCTCTACGAATGCTCTTGCAACGAACTTGAAGAAACGGGTGTAACGTCTAGTACTAAAAATTGACCCGTAATTTGGCGCGACAAGCAATAACACCGAGCAATTATTGAATTAAAGTGGATGAAAAACTGATGGTAAAAATAAAATATATTTGAATTTAATTAATTTAATTAAATATTTAATATTTGGATTTAAATATACTATATAATAGTTAAGAAATCTCAAAATATTTTTATTTTGATTTTGTCAATAATCACGCAGAGTTAGAAAACAATGTAACATGTTGCGTTTCTATCATCAATATCATTATTATGTGATCATTTTTTTGCAATACACTTCAATATTATTTGTTCGCGCAATTTGTTACTTGTATAACTTTATTCGTATCGTCGAGCAGCTATATAATTTACGGTTTTATGTGTTTCATAATCGAAAACATGGGATGTCATTCACGCTTTCTGATACTTTCTATTATTTTGAAAGTGCATCTGCGGCTTCGTAATTCCGGGACAAGCGACAGTCGACGCTTATTATGCGTTCCATAATTATTAAAATTTCCGTTGGCGCGTTTGCAGGAAACGCTCGACCAACAAAATCCTTTGAAGATATTTCCTTTCGACAAAAGCACCGACTTCCGGATTGAGAGTCCGTCGCGACGAAATCGAAATCGAGGGGGCGAGGGAGGAGAGGCACGCATTTCCTGCGTCGATATGGCTTCCAATAAACGCATAGTCATTGATATTAATTAAACGTATTATTGAGTAATCGATCTTGATGTAAAAAAGGAAAATTCTAAAAAAATATCAAAAATGAAAAATTTAAGAGAATTTATATTTTATTTAAGGCTTAAATTAATTAGTAAAGAACACACATTCTTTTCTTATATTGTCACAATACGATTGTTATTTTTCAGTAATTGCGATTTATTATTCCTTATATTACCCAATTTATAATTATCAAAATGATTATATGTTTCATCCGTTTTTCCCACGATAGTGTTTTATCTTCCTCTCGGTGAGGAATCGATTCGACTCATCGCATTCACAGAAATGACAATGATCACGATAACGTATCAATTGACCTTCGCAATAAAACAAAGAGGATAGTAAATTTTATCGATCCATTGCAAATTTTACTGGACGAATTTCGCTTCGTTTCCAACGTATAGAAAATTACACATTTATTGTTGAGCGAATTGACCGCTTAATTAAATCTCGCAATTTAATTATGTCAAATAATCCGTTGATTTATAATAATTCCGAATTATCCTTGCCTATGAAAACTATACTCCTGACAATTGCCTGTAAAAAATATTTAAGAAGAAAGTCGAGACATTATAATTTTTTTTAACTTTATTTTGATCCCCTGAAAGAACTTCGTTTACGTAATTTTCCTATTAAATTAAGTTTCTGTATTGATCAAACGCTTGTTAAAATTATTTAATGGGATCGTATTCTT